ATCCTCGTATAATATTGAACGTTTTAGTGGAGCATGTGCTTTTATTTAGCGTGATATGGGTGGTTGCGTGAGTGGGACCATTTGCAGATTTTCACCCGATGCGGTTTCGTGGCTGCGTCGCTTGGAGAACAGGTTTGCACCTGATACCAGCCTTGCGATCGGATGACGCCTTTCAATCCTTACTTTTTTTTTTCCCTCCTACCCTCTTCCCTCTCATACACTTTTTGTCAGAATATATTTTTTTTTATTCTCTCCCTCTTTTCATGCGTCCCTTTACTCCAGTCTCAGTTAAACTATAGCAACCATTATCGTTCGGTCATTCAATAAATATTTCAGTCAACATCCAAAACCCCTCGCCATTATGCGGTGTCCAGTGTCTCACATATATACCCCACGTATTTATACTTGTCTCCTTTTACACATTGCACACATGATCCTCTTTAATTCCGAATAAAGATCGAGAAATTTTTTCTTTCACTGATGATAATTTTAACCTTCTGTTTAATTCCATTTAATTAATTCAAATCGCGCCGATTTTTCCTTTTCCTCAGTATCATTCCCTCGATTCGATTCTCGAAATTTTATCGATATTAGACAACAATGGAATTTTACTGATTCCAATTTACCATTTTTATGGCGAAATTTTGAGAAAAAAATAGTGAAGAAAAAAATGTTGAGTATAAAAATATGTACGATGAATTTCAATTTCAAGAGCGAAATGAACACATCATTAATCCGAATAAACCGTTGAATAGACTCGGAAATGACGAGGAATGACAAGAGTATAGCGTAGAAAATATATATCATCATCAATGTAATGTCGAGGGGTCATCTCAACGAGACTGCTTGAGACAAGCGTCTTGTTGATGCTCGCATAAATCAATTGCCATTCGGATCGAATTGGTACATAACCATTCCCGGAGGCTATTCCACTCAATCCGAGTTACGCACATATTGAGACAGTATATTCACCAACTGAGGCCTCAATTCACGACTGATTTCCCTAACAAGGCAGTCAAATTTAGCAATTCCAAATAAAAAAAAAAATGAGTGACAATTAATCCCCAAGCAGCCGCAAAAGTTTTCAGAATGAAAAAATTAATAAATTTCCGTGCGAATCAGTGCGATTTAAACAAATTACAAACGGAAAAACAATAACCAATTGCTGGAGACAGAACGAGTCAAATGGATCCACTACACCATCCCCAAGTGAGATGAATGAACTCACGTCAGATTCAAGTGAAAAATATAAAGTAAGAGATTAAATCCCACCGTAAAATTGACTCTCCATGGACTATCGGAAGCGGTGGAAAAAGAATCGAGAAGGTGGAGTTGTGGATAAACGATGACGCAGCGAACGAAAGTTGAAAAAAAGAAATGGATGGAAAAAAAGAAATGAAAAGAGAGGAGAGAATGAATAAAAAAAAAAAAAAAATTGTGTGGCACGGGTCCGGAGAGCTGACTCGGCGAAAAAACATGGTCTGCTCGAAAGAGAAGGAAAAAGAAGGAAAAAGAAGGGAAAAGAAGGAAAAAGGGGGAAAGGGGGGGGCGAGTAGAGGAGGGAGTAATGACGAGGGGGAGAGGGACCGGGTGGTTTGAGAAGGGGTGAGGGGGAAATGATAACGAAGGGAAAGGTAGTATTCAGTGAATGCCTTTCGGTGGTCGTCTAAACGCTTATTACGCCGCATTACCATGCAACAACTCGTATGGAGTATGGCGTATGGATTGTAAGGGCGAGTCACGCGAGAACTGCCGCAAGGAAACGAGTAACCACATCGCCATCCCCACCAACAACCAGTTTCATTTTTAGCTTTATTTTTTTTTTGTCTTATACGTATTTGCCGGCCTGTCCCTTCTCAATGGAAAATTTGTTTCTACCGCGGATAGAAATATATGCATATAGAAGAGATCCAAAAATCTTTCCCAGGTGCCCCACAGGTGCCCCACAGGTGCCTCATGAAAATAATGGGCTTTTGATTTTTCAGATTAAATAATCATCGTGAATTTTTCTAAGACAGTTTAGAAATTGATAGAATCCCATTAATTAATTTAAAAGACATTTTTTTATTGAATGTTATGGGCGAATTGGTGGGGATTGAAAAACGGCGTGACCTAGTTAAAATAGAGCACTTGAATAACTCCTTGAAAAAGGGTTAAATGAAAAAAATGTTTCATATGAAAGTTGGAGGGCTTTGAAGCGTATGATACGAGCTTTATTTTGAGATTGAAAAAAAAAATTAATCGCTGGAGAAAATTGGAAAATGTCTCGCGTGATGGTGCCCCATAAAACATGGGTTTCGAATGTAGCAACAGGGGGATCGTCTCACCCAGGGATTTCTTAGAATATCATCAGATAATGCTGGCGCATCCCACACGTCCTTACACCATTGCTCTCATTTAGCACTTTTAATTCACGGGCCAACGTGGGTCATTAAATAGAAATTAGCCCGACTAATGAGCCGGCACGTCTCCATCTCTGGAGGACACACGTTGCATTGAGGCATTCCGTCAACAAAATTCCCTTTATACACGCCAGTCATATTGTAATACCTATATATTTCGTTTTTTTTTTCATGGCTTAATGACGTAACAGTGCGGCTATCGCTCATTTCAACGGTTTTATCCTACTTTGCCTCGGGCTGGTGGGGGATAATATTTTGAATAATGAATTCTCGGTGAATGGAAAAAATCCATCGCCAAGTGGCACATCTTTGTCAATTGTACTATTAAGTTTTCATTTCCTATTCAAGGAGGCATTAATTAACATTTTCCGGGTTGATATATCTTTGGATATGTCGGGATTATTTTGTAATGGTCAATTTACTTTATGGTCGTGGCGTGACATTTGAATTTTTCGCGTTCTGTTGATCCCATGATTAATGGGAGAAATAGAAAAAAATAGGAAATATATTTTTAAAGTCGATGATGTCCCTTGGGATCAAAGACCAGAAGAATGTAATGAGGATTTGATTATAATTTGATTTTAATTTAATTATAATTGAGTTTGAATTGAAATTAATCGATTTATCACGGGATTCAGCCATTTTTTTTTTTTAATGAATGAGAGAGGACCCGGAAAAAAAAAATTTTAATCGGAATATTTTTTCCAAATTTTCAAAACATTTCTGGAAAACTTTTGAAGAAATTTTTCTTTTCAAACAAAAAAAATTAGGAAACAAAACAATTTTATTTTTATGAAATGTTTTGAAAAATTTTTCAAAAATTTGTTGCGGAAAACTTTTTTTATAATGTTCTAGAAATTTCTGCGAATATAATTTTTTCTTTTAATTATTCTGTTGTTTTCTTACTTTTTTGATTTTTCGATATATTCCAAAAAATATGCCATCTAAATTATAAAAAAAATTTTCCTATTTAAATTTTTGAAAAATTTTTCCAAACCTTTCGCAAAAATGAAATTGTTTTGTTTTCCGATTTTTTTTCATAAAAAAAATTTTCTGAGAAGTTTTCCCGAAATTTTTTGAAAATTTGGAAAATTATTCTGATTACAATTTTTTTTTACCCGGGGAGGAAAAATGAGAAAATTATTGTATCGAATAACTGTTCTTTAAGAAATTTGTTGACCGGAGGCGAGGCTTGATATTACACAAGTGGAAAATTGCCTGCTATATTTACCTAGGCGTCAATTAAAACATAAAAATCACGAGATGTTTGTCTCCCTCTCAGGAGTCCTCAAAAATAATGGGTAAATATAATAAAATACAGAATCCAAACATATTGAATCATCATAAAAAATGGACGACGCAGAATATAAAAAAAAAATAAATAAATAAATGTTTCCCCGAAGAACTGAAGAATCCGATAATTTTGAGACTCATGAGATATGGCAATATGCGAAAGGAAACGTCTGCGATGAAAGAAAAAAAAAATTCACGTGAACATTGAAAAGTTGGGGGGAGAAAAAAATAATCCTTCCTTGAATCCCTCAAGAGGATGAACAGAAGCCACACCGGGGGTAATGAAAGAATAAGAGGGCCAAGGGCTAGGAAGAGAAGAGAGAGGAAAAAGACGACAGCTGGTCGGTGCTGGACGATTCAATCTTATTCGGTATCTCACAAGGATGAGATTCAAAACAGGGGCCAGAGTGTTCTCGAGTGTCTCATATGCGGGCCCAAATGTGTGGGGTCAGGTCTCTTTAGCGAATTTAATTTTCAGAGAGTCTCATAGAAATCGGGGGAGTGGTGAAATATGGCGCAGAAAAAAATGATGAAACCCCCGATGCCATTGGTTTCAATGAATTTCAATTAATTTAATTAATTTAAAAATTCAGAAAGTGAACCTCTAATTAATCGAATATTCGATTAATTAGATAGTACTGACCCAAATTTTTCTCACATTCTCCTACTTTATCCCTTCAGTCCAAATTAATCTGATATTTTTCGGAATTTAATCTGTCGCCATCAAGAAATTATCCAACTAGAATTTCCAGCTCCCACGTTTTATGGAGAGTAATGAATTTAGAAGAAAAACTTTATTTTCAGTCGATCGATAATCAAGTGTGAGGATTATGGGATCTACCTCCTAACGAATACCGTAATAAATGAAGAAACGGAGAAAAAAAAAATTGATTGACGATAAAAAATTGGAGAAGTGGGCTAAAGCGATGAACAAATCGAAAGCGCGCACTGTCCAGTTTTTACTCATTGATTGGGCTGTCAGTGATCAATGAGTGGTTAAAATGTACGAGAATGAGAACAAAGTCATCAGCTGATGTTGCATTGCTCACTATAACCTGTCACTCCTCACCGGTAATTGCAATAACACTGTTTTTATGCTTTACTTAATTAATTCCTACGTCCATCGCTCCTCAACCTCAACATTCCCCCCCGGATTGTTTTTTTTTCTCAATGTTTAATGAGAGAGCCGTCGGCTCATTGTCGTTTTCAATTTTTCTTCTTGCCAATTAAGCGGTGATATTATTATCCAAGAGGCTTTCATCGGTTAATGAGATTTTTTTTTATATTCAATGTAATCTTACTCACTTTCTACCGGACTCGAGAAATCTGTCGAATTCCACACTCATTTTGCAGCACAATGCACGACGATTGTGGGAGGATGAGCACTTTGTGTTGACTAGGTGTCCATCTGAAAATGAGAGACCTTTGATTACGGAAAAATATAATATAGTAATTATAATGATGGATAATTATATTCAACGCTGCCCCGTTTTGTATAACAATAAATAAAGATCGTAAATCAAATAAAAATCCAAATATAATAAAAATTTAATCCAGATTTAGTCCACGTCTAGTTCCCATTTTTTTAATGCCCTCTGTCACTCGAAAATGTTCGAAAGTAATGTGTGAAAAATAAAAATAAACATTAAGTGACGAAATAAATAAATAGACAAGAATAAATGGAATAGAATATAAATCGAATAAAATCCGGAATTTATTCCGGATATAGTAAAAATTTTTTCAACACCCCCTGTCCCTGGGCAATGATCGGATGCCGTAGTAATGACTAATAAATGACTGAAGAAAAATGAAGTGAGGGAATAAATAAGAATAAGGAGCAATAAGGTGGAGTGCGCGTGTTGAGGTCAAATGTCGGCCGGTGGCCGGAGGGCTCGCGTGCTCCTCATCCCCACTACATCCTCATCCTCCACCAGGTCCTTTAATCCCTTGATTTTCTTATTTTTCGGTGAATAACCGTACCCCTTTCATCATCACTTCGATTGCAATCCCCCACTGATTAATTACCACCCATTGATAATAAAAATTCTTTTTTTTAATTATTCTGTTATTTTCTTACTTTTTTGATTTTTCGATATATTCCAAAAAATATGCCATCTAAATTATAAAAAAAATTTTCCTATTTAAATTTTTGAAAAATTTTTCCAAAGCTTTCGCAAAAATAAAATTGTTGTCTTCCAATTTTTTTTCTTTCATAGAAAAAATATTGTGAAAAGTTTTCCAGAAATTTTTTGAAAATTTGGGAAAAATAATCCGATTACAATTTTTTTTTACCCGGGGAGGAAAGATGAGAAAATTATTGTATCGAATAAATGTTCTTTAAGAAATTTGTTGACCGGAGGCGAGACTTGATATTACACAAGTGGAAAATTGCCCTTACTTTAATTTACCCCTTTCATCATCACTTCGATTGCAATCCCCCACTGATTAATTACCACCCATTGATAATAAAAATTAGCAACTGTAATGAACCGAATCAGTGAAGTAATGCCACGAGTCAAAGGTTCACTAAAAATTGCCCAATGAATTTTCATACGCTATATTCATAACTCATTGTTGAACATTGGGTTATTCACCGTGATTTTATCGTCTTTGGTACCTGGGGGTTTAGTAACTCATACAACCCATGCATAATACACCATCCAACACAACCACAAGATCACTTGGGAGTGGTTACGTACACTATTGCTGCACCAATTTTCCGTAAGTCAATTTACCGTTGGGCCTTACTATTTCAACATACGATATATACGAGTTAAATAAATTCATTGAAAAATCGCGACAATTCTCGAGTACCACGAGCCCTTCAAAATATCCGAATGGTAACTTCAAATAAATCCTATACTAAATTCATTATTCCCATTAAATTTCATGATAATAAAATAATTATTAACGCTTCAGCTATTACTTTAATGATTGTGTGATCAAAGAAAGTTAATAAAGAGTTAGTGCTATAGGAATTTAATATTGAAGTAAAAACATGTCGGTATTGTCTGGCACTCATAAATTTCAGTGGAAAGTCCCAAGACATGATTGAGTCAGTAAAGCAAGGAATTTCCACTTAATTATTCAGTGAAGACTGTTAACAGTTTTGACAGTTTCTCATGAAGGGGACTAACTCTCCTAAAATGTCCCCCGAGAGAAAATCGGGGGAACATTGGGACAAGGGTTTCGATAGTCAATACACCGTCAAGCCTCGAGGCATCTTCCTCGTATATTCATTACACACTCAACCCAGCAATGTCCCAATCTATATTTACTCGTGCGATTATGCAATGCCAGAGGGAATTTTTGGTTTTAATATACCCAGGGGTTATATTTTCATTGAATAATCCCCCCCTCCCCCCTCAACGCCGAGCACGTATCTTTCTCATTTTATTGCATAACCGTCTCATTACCGTAAATCGTTCAGTACATCGAGTTACCACTGAGAATATACAATCAATGAACTTGGAAATCCTCAAAATGATTGACGACCCAACCGCGTGGGGTAAATACTTCCGTATTTACGATGGCCTATGCCCAGAGATGAGGATTCCACCGAGTGTTTACTCAGTTTTTTTTTTTTTTTTTAAAAACCATTATTCTTTCTATACCTCTTGCTTCATATTTTCTTGCTGAATATTTCGCAATTATCGTATGAACGAGAGCGCACTCGGAATATCATGTGGAGATCGTAATGACTACTCCGGCATTCCAAGTTTTACCGTCTCTGTTTAAAATTTATCTAGTGCTATATCACGTGGTCAACGACTAGGTCATAATAATTTTCATGAACATGACTCGAGATTCTAATGACATTGCGATGAGGAAGAATTTCAAAATGCGGTAGTTATCAAATTTTTCATTATCTCAATTCAACGATTCTATTAATTATCGATTTATTTTTATTAATTAAGGAGTGATCATTTTTATTATTCTCAAATTACTGTTGAGGATTATTTTGAAAGTACTCACTCGTTCGATTCTGCAGGTACTGGTCGTCCTTATCAGTGAAAAACCACGTCTGAAACACAGAAAGAGAAATTTGCAATTAATTTAGATATCCAACACCTCATGAGCTCAAAATACATAAATTATACATTAATTTTAAAGAAATAATTTAATAAGAATTTGCATTCCATTTTTTTTACATCCAATTATAATTTTGGAAGATTTTAAATATTTTTTATAGCATTATCCAATTTTTCATTGAGACAATGCAAATGAGTTTCGTGTGATGAATGGATCGTTAAAAATTCAAAGTTCTTCTACTTGAAATTTTGAGATAACAGGAATTTTCTCACAGTGCTGGTCTCTATGAAGGGCAATGGACCCCAACATTTTCTCGACTTCCTATTTTTAGCGCACGTCTCAATAAGTACTCTGTATATATTATCCATGGGCATTGGATTTTTCTATTGCCACGACAACTAAAACAATTTCTCGACAATTTGTGGTTCGTCATAGGCTGTCGACAAGAGGTGGACTAACAAGAACGAGAAAACATTCATTATTCAGGACCGCAAATGTCAACTCCAACTCTAGACCGTGTGATAATATTTACATGAAATGGTATTGAGCGAATGGAATTCTGACTCACTGAAAAAATCAAAATTTCTCTTGATATTTTACTCTGCAATACTGATTTTTTTCATTCAAAGGGGAAAAAGCGAAAAGCCAAACGATTTTTATAATAAATAATAATAATCATAATTAATCATAATTAATCATAATTAATTACTGCAATTGAAGAGGAGTCATCGTAAAACGGTAGATATGCAAAGATGAGAAGAAATTCGAAAGCCAAACCGACAAGATGACATCACCTTACCATCTCTATTTACCGGATTAATCATTAATTACTTCCTCCTCAACGACTTAAATTACGCCACTTGAAACTTCCTCCAGTCCCGAACCCTGAAATTCTCGGATCAACATTTTTTTTTGCCAGACCATTGTTGCCAAAAACATGAGTAACCAGACACAAATTCCCTTAATTGGATTAATTGAAAACCCGGGTGATTTAACGTCTGGTGACGCCACTAGAAAATCCGAGAGGATTCTGCCACCCTGACCACGACTTATCCGTCTTTATCTGGAGCTCTAGTTTATCGAATCGAAATTGTTTATAGTGGAATTCGAAGAAGTACTGAAGATTTGATAATAAGTATCGTATGTCTTAATTCCGCTGAATAGAGCCTTTGAGTCATTGAAAAACGATCCGTAGACTCAATATTCGTCGCAATTATGATGAATATGCGAAATTCAATGAAAGACAGGCGCCAATCTAAGTACATTCGCTATTTCTATCATTCTAATCTTCCTCTCATATCCATTAAAATAATTAATAATTCTCTTGAATTTGCAGAGTTCATGAATAATAAAATAATTGAATAGTCTGACCCAAAAAAAATTAATTCCATTAACTGAATAAAAAATCATAAAGTTCAACCAGGAATAAAAATTTCTAATTAATGATATAATTAAAATAATTAAACCCTGGAGAAGTACCCAAAAAAGACTAAAATCTTGACGTCGAGTGGAGTTAATAAAGAATTCCCGAGAATTGAAACTGGCGGTGAAATTTTTCTGTTAGAAGTTGCGTAGCGATCTCTACAAAGTCAGAGTTCCATTGAACTCATACAACTGAATGAAATCGTGCAGTTGGTCCTCCAATTATCCCTCGGGCATCTCGTATACCCAAAAGACGGCTGTGTCTCGGGAGAAAATTGAGGGGTTTGCGGTTATTCGAACCGAGTCACTAAAGATAATGGCAGCGATGAGAAAACTTGACAGGGAGACGGTCCCAGAAACAGCGAATATTCTCAGATAAAATTATTCCTCGACAGTATCTTACAAAGATGTTCTTTTAACCGCGTTATTTATATTAAAATCTCATAAAAATGAATGACTAAGTTCTTTATTCATCAACTCGATCCATCAAACCCACCATCAAAGCCCAATTACAATTAATCCGACGAATTTCATCATCGAAATAATTATCTCGAGGAGATTGAAGAATATTACTCACTCAAATCAATAGCTTCCCTGAACGTTCCCTCCCTTTGAATAAATATACAGGCGAATGAAAAATTGTTTTAATGAATGAAATTGCAAATTTCCCTGGCCGTTGGAATAAAATCCAGATTTTTTTGGCGACAAGACAACTCTATTGATGATCTTTCCTACATGTGAAATTTTCTCTCATGATTAATAAATAATTCTCATTATAACAATTCCTCTGTGAAAAATCCCGATGAAAAGGAAGGACGATCGCCTGATAACTGAACAATGCCAAACATATGAATACTTGTTTCCCATATTTAAATCGAAATTAAAATCCATTGACGGCACGCAATACACGTGATTTAAAGCCTACGATGGAAAAAGCGAGGATGAAACAAAGAATCGATTGAATAACGCATTTCCCACGTCAAAGTCACAACAATGATCATCTTTACATACAAAACTTGTGATACCATCTCAAAAAACATATCCATTCAATCGGAGTACTTCTTTTACCTCCCGTTCTCGATCCTTTTTCATTGAATTTGAATTTCATTGAAAAAGGAAAGACGAAAATTTCAAAACGGAGTGACGTTGAATTTTTCTAAAAATTTTTTAATGTTTGCGTTTTTTCACACTTTCGAGTCTTGTAATTATATTTTTTCCTATGAAATTCTATTTTCCTCGTAAAATAATGTAAATGTTTCCAGACACAGAATAACCTCCACACTAAAAGAATAGTTATTTTAAAGAGCGTTCTTTGAACTCCTGTACATAGGATACCAACGGTGAGAAGCTCATAATACGAACAATTAGTCCGTACCCGTGAGAGATAATATCGCTGGGTGAATTCCCGACATGAAGGGAACAGGCGAAGAGATAATTAAAACCCCGGATTTTTCCACTATTTTAATTATCGCTCCGCTCTGAGGCCAACTTTGATGATCCTCGGGTTCTTTGGGTATGTTATAATTATCAGCGTACCTGATCCTTGGCGTATTGAAACCATGTGTCGATAATCGATGGCAGGCGGGAGTGGTGATAGTGACGTGTTGTCTTGACGCTGATGAAGACGTCGTTGAGATCAGTGGAAAAAGGCGCCATCGTTGCTGTTGCAACTGGTGGTGTAACTGCTGTCTCCTCGACACTAATTTTCTGCATTTCACCAGTGTCCGAACGTCCATCGGATATCACACGATTTATCACTACCACTGCCTCCTCTGGCCACTGGAAATTATTTTAAATACGAATTTAGAGAGTCTTTATAAACGCCACTATAAAGTTACACTCGAAACCTCGAGTGAAAAATTTGGTAATTGACAAGTAAAATTTTTTTTCAATATCCGTGGTTTGGTATTCATGAATCAGGGAATTTTTATAATAAACAGTGATGTTGGGTTTCTTGGATTTTTGTAATGAGTATATCAATTAATTTTAAATCCGCTTCTCCGTTAATTGTACAATTGCCACAACTGTAAATCCAAGACAGTGAAAAAATGTATTTCCACAGAATTTGAGACAATAAAATCGGTGTACAAAATTTAAATCTAACTAGTTATAAAATCGAAAAATCAATATGAAATTTCTGAAAAATAATAAAAAATAGTGTTTTCAATGTCTATTATTATTCAATGACTCACACTCTCCCCAAATTCGATCAAAAAATTCCCAAAAAGGAAGAAAATATACAAACAATAAAAATTGAAAAGTCATTGAATAACGATAAAGCCCACAGTTTCCCATAAATTTCCTAGAAAAACAAAACCGACAAATGCATAGATATTGTCAACTCCTAAATTTACGGTGTATTTTTGCGAGACTGCATAAATTGAATGAAGCCCATAAAAAAGAGAATGTGAAATTTGCTCACCTGACGTGGTGCAACAGCCTGATAAATCAGAATAGTGGCATAAGCAGTGGCAAGTATGAGTGCAAGTGCTTGTAATCCACGTCTGGTTGGTAATGCCCGAGGCATGATGGGGTTGGCGGTTATGGCAGCGGTCAAATTGCTCCCGCCAACCGCCGTATTCTGAATTTGGGCCTGTGGCCCAAATGCACTGGTGCACCAGCCGTTATCGTATCCCAATTGTTCAACACCACTGTCAATAATCAACAGCCACTCATCCTTGCTCCCCGTACCAAACACACTCATACCAACAGCAAATTAATAACACTCCGACGTACCAATTTATCTAATGGACATTAAAATTTACCTCACGTACCACCGATATCAATTTCACACACTAAAATCCCGAAAACAACAATCTCCCGTCATAAATTTACCAGTTCTCATGGCAATTCAATCCAAAATATTTCATTCCCCACCACTCGATTGCACTTCACATTTATTCACCAGTCAATCCTCAAAATTATTATTTGAATCACGGAATTCATTTGCACATTGAAAAGTCCAGCAAAATATCTCAATCCGTTTGCTTATAGGGATTAAAATACCGAGACGTCACGTAGCGCTATTCGATGGTGAATACGAAAATTCAGTTGTTTTGTTTTCGTTGGGGGTTTTGGGTTTATTCAATAACACTCGCTAAGTCTAGACGCCAAACCGCACCGGCGCGCGACAGCAACCGACTGAACACATGGACTCGTCGTCCTGACTACAGTGTAAACATTGCTGCCATGTATACGCTACGGTCGGAGAGGGGGACTCGATATTCGATGTACGACCATGAAAAAGGGGAAGGGATGGCCTACGTATCAGTCACCTTTAATAATCCGTCGTATTCGTGTCGGTATTGGCAGACTCATCCAGCTTTCACCCCACCCCATCCCCTCCCCATCCCCTCCCCCCCAGATAAAATAAATTTCAACAAAAATTAAATCAAATCAAGAAATAATTAATTTAATTGAATAAACAGTTTATTTAATTAAATTAACTCTAACGAACATGAAATTGCCAATGTATTTTATTTTATTTTACTCTATTTATTTTTGTTTTTACGGTCAATAACTTAGGAATATTTTCCGAATTTATTGGAATTATTTGAGACACTCTCGGTGAATTGTTGTTAATGAGAGAATGAAATTGATGAGGGAAGAGACAAGTAGATTTTTAACAAAATCCTTTTTATTACGTGTTACCAATATCTACAGATATAACAACTAGTTATATACATTTTGTACAGTGCAATGTACCTTAAGATAAGAATAGATAAATATTTGAGAGGTGAATCTTAAAGTACTCTTCGTCCTTCTGCTCCCACATGTCGAAATGAATCATTAATAATATCCCGGACTTGGTTCTCGTGAGGAGAAAAACCATAAAAAAAGTGAGAATCTACCAGTCGCTAATGAGCTTAATTGCCGAGTTCCCTCGGGTTGAATGAAAGAGAATAATGGTGAAAATTACAATGAACATGATCAGTTGGTGGGTGTTAAAATGTTGAGCACGTTTCATGTGGCGCGTCGACGCAGAAGTACAATACTATTGTACAATTTTATGGCTGGCCCGAGACGGAGACCCAGAAGTGATACCAAATCTTCTTGAGTCAACATTAAAAATGCCTCACCGTCGATACTCTAAAAATATCCAAAAGCAGAATTTTAAAAACACACTAATACACTATAAAGAGAAAAAATTATTCCTTACAAGCAGAAATGCGCATAAATCATTAATACCACTCATGGGATACAATGGGACATTCTAAAAGGACAACAGTACATGAATCTGGAATTTTTTCTAAGTGATTCGACATTTTTCAATGTCAAAGATCATCATAATTTATTCCTGGATTCACTTCGTCCCATTCACTGGTGCAAATACAAAAAAAAATTATAATTCAATGGAAAATAGATAGTCTATCATTTTTTTTCACGTTTAATAATTGTTTGGAGGTTATTTAATGTGCAATACTCACATGCTTCCTAAAAATGCTACCAACTTCCTTGCAATTAGGCACGCTCTGGATAAACTTGATGACTTCCTCGTTGGACCATCGTCTGGGATTGGTATTCTGTTTAGCAACGACACGATTCAATACATTACTGTGTTTAGCCCAAATGTGTGGTGCATCCGGCAGTGGACTGTATCCGGGATCGTAAACGGATTGATACAGCTCGTTACGTAGTTGTTTATCAGGCATATTTGGTGCATACGTGGTGAGTGATTCACCGAATCCAGAGCTTGGAGGGCATAGAGGTTCCTCAGATATATGACGTCTAGATAACAATAGTATTATCTCTTAGAACATCTCCCCACTTTGCTCACCCATTGCAATGATTTTTTTCTTTCTTAAAATGTGATAAATATTTATGGAGGTAGTACTGACCTTTTCCTTCGTTTTCTGGATGTATGATCTTCCTCATCAGTGTTGCCATCACTTTGATGTTGCTGTTTCATTTTGCTCGATTTACTGAATTAATTAAAACAACAGATGGTTATTATTCGAGAGATATTTACGACTTAACCCACACAATTTCATGTGATTTTAAGGGTAGAAATAAGCGATAACTACAGAATTGAATAATTAAACAATTAAACCAACCTCTCGACCTCATCAAATTCATCGTACTCCTGCTTGACATCCTTCTCGCTCTTGATGTGCTTCTGCTCATGGGAGTATTTATCAGATCGATCCCTGACCCTCCACAAGTCCCCTTTGGATCTGTCGAGGGAGTCCTCGTCATAGTCACAGATTTCGTGTTTGACATTGAGTCTGTCCGTATTGAGTCTGATTTTATGGAGATTCTGGGAGGAATAGGGGCACCCAGAGGCTGAGTTATGAGTGGCAAATTTAGGACCCTTGATGTGACCAATGCCACGGCACCCAGGGGTTCCACACTCTGTCTTCTCCGCGATAATTTCAGAGGTGAGGGCGGCCTCGAGGGGATGCCCAGTTTTATTGGACCACCCAACGGGGTGAATATCCGGGGAATCGTCGTCGACCCAGTAGGCATGAGCCTCAGGCCACCCATCGAAACGAATTTTTATCATGTGATCCTTGACGTCCTCGATTGTCGCAACGCGAATTAATTGGGGCACCCTCTTGTCGACTGCCTCGAATTTCATTCCTCGCTTGAAGCCACAGGGTGGCCTCTGCTTGAAGGCTCGGGCTGGCGCTGCTACGGATCTCGTTTCTCTGAGGTATGCGTCCCAGGTGAAGGTCTTGGCGTCTTTGTAGTTGTTCGGGGGTGTCAGGCTGTGACCATTGTGATGGCACCAACCCACTGGGTGGATGTAGGGAGAACTAGCGTCTGCCCAGTAGTCATACACCTCATCCCAGGAGTCGAAGTGCACAAGAATTCGAGAGTCCATCAGACCCGCAATACTCGCTACACAGACTAGTGATGAGTGCTTACGGTCCACTGCCTCCAATTTCATTCCCACACGAAAACTCGTGGGTGGAAAAACAGCGCTTTTACTGGAAAATGCCGTTTTCGGTGCTGGTGTGGCTTTGCACGTCTTCAAGTATGCATTCCAGCTGAAATTTGTTGGCACGTAACCCTTGGGTGGGTCCAATTTATGTCCATTCTTCTCTGCCCATCCAACTGGAAAAATATCCATGGAATCTGCGTTCACCCAGAAATCAAAGTTCTCGGGATACCCATCAAAATGCAAACGTATTCGATAGCCTGAAATTGTTACCATTAGAATCTCGAATAAACAACTCAAGACCGATTCATCTATAAAATTTCAAGGGTTTACCAACTACTTCAAATACAGTCAAGATGCAGTAACGTGAGGGATGTTCAGGATCGATGCCCTCGAGTTTCATTCCAACTTTGAACAAATTCTTTCCGTATGGAAATGGATCTTTGAAGAGTTTCACTGGAGCTGCTTTCGCCTTGCAGTGCTCCAAGTACTTGGACCATGAAAATCCATGCTTTCCGGTTTGCCAGGGATACTAGAAGAATCATAATCCTTTGAATAATTTAAAAGAAAATATGCAATACAATCATTGAGTAATTCTTTGAGAGAAAATCGTCGACACGAATTTTTAACGAGAAGTGTTGATTAAAAAAGTTTTCCCCTAATACCTTGGACTCAATTTTCTCATTTTGACTCTCTTCATCCACGTTCGTCGTTGAAGTGTCTCTCGACTCCTCGTCACTTTCATATTTCATACGTTCCTCCTTCGATATCTTTTCCTTTGCCCTCGATTTTTCTTTTTCTTTCTCCTTTTCCCTTTCAATATCTTTTTCCTTATCTGTCTCGTCGATCTCAACCTCAGAGACTTTTTCCAAACCCTCCTTCAAGTTTTGCTCTTGCATGAGCATTTTCTTACGCTTTCGTTTGGCTCGCAATTCTCTGCAGAGTAAAAAAAAAATTAATCAATTATTGCTCCATAAATTATTCGATTGATGCACTGAGTGCATTGTATCGATTTAAATTTTCGTAGTGGAATCATCAATTACTTCGCTTCCTTCTCCTTTTTTATTCTCAGCTGTTTTTTCACTGCTATCATTTCAGTGCATGCTGGGCTACACGATATTGGACTTTCAAATTCAGCCGCCATTCCGTAACAACCACAACTCTCGCAACAGTATAAAGTATCGGCACTGACTGATTGTCGAGATTTTTTATCTTCATCTGCAATGAAAAGAGAATCGAATGAATAGGAATGATGCTTATCGGGTCTATTTGTGTGATTTAAAATTCAAAATATTTTACTCACTTTTCTTATCATTCGTCGCAGTGACAGCAACCGATTTTGATGAATTTCGGGATAGAAAAACGTTCTCCTTATCCCCATTGCTATGTTTATCCTGTTTGGAATTTTCATCCTCATCCACCACCTCCATCATACCAAACTCGTTGATGAGAAACTACAATGAAATTACGCTCTATTGTTTACAGAATAAAAAATAATCGGTCCCTTCTTATTTTTCTTCTTTAAATATATTGCACAAGCAAATAAAACAGTTCGAAGAAAATTCATATTTATAAAGGAATATATTCCCCGAAGAAGAATATTTCCTCAAATAACTTCATATTCACCTTTAAACTACTTCCAGGCAATGATCCCACTCCATCCTTCCAGTCCAGGGCCTTAGCAGCATCGAAATTTGGATCGCTATGATTCCCATTAATGATGTCCTTGATATCCTCGCAGTTGCTGCCATTGGTCTTCTCATTTTTCCTCTCTTTATCGCCCCCGGAAGTCCCCCCACTACTCGTGGAAGTTTTAACCACTTCGATTTTAACGTCATCATCCACCAAAGACTTCCTCCTGATCTTATCCTCTCCCTGCACAACTTTTATCAGAGTAATCTCGTCGTCATTCAATTTCTTCCCACCGTCCTGGTCCACTTCTGGACTGCTGACAGAGTAACTGATGTCCATACTGTCCTGATTCTTCGGAAACGTCTGCTTCTTGGGTCGTTTCTCAGTGGATCCTCTCAGGATGTTGCTGATCGTTTTTTTTCGTTTCTCCGAGGGTTGCATCGTATCATCTTTCTTTGGAATTGGTGTTATTACTGCGGAGTCTGGATTTTCTGTTATTTTTATACTGTCTGGTGAATTGCTCGTGTTTTTGTTGACATTCAGGAGACTCATCTTCGTAATTGGGTGCAGAGGGGGTGGATAGGGGGTTGCATTTGTGGCTTTGGACTCCCGCAGCACTAGAATTACAAGATTTTTTGGGGGTAAGCTGAGGGGAGAGATTGTGTGGAAAGTGTATGCGAGGATTGGTTTGATAGCACAGCAACCATTGAGGAGCTGCCAGTGAGAAATTCTTCCGGTGAAATTCGTGGAAATGAAATTTGTTTGAACATTCTTGTGCTCCCATTGTTGTTCCCATTTCCAGATATTTTTAAATTGGAGAAGTTGAATAAATAATCAATTATAAAAATACGTTAAATAAATACTGTGGAAAAAATAGTAATTTCAAAGAATAAAGTATTTTATGAAAATGTAATTATCATTAGCAAAAATTAGGGGTAATTTGGTTTGGTTTTTCATAAAAGATCAAAAATATTGTAATCACAAATTTCTCTGCAGAATCTCCCCCTGGGCATTCCCAACATCGTTATTTGATCATCGACTCACCTGCGAAGGTTCCTTTGCTATCACTAATTTGACCATGGCTGAAATGTAGGTTCAACGTACTTTGTTTGCTGGCTCCAGTCGACTGAGGAATAGACACTGGTAAAATAAGATTTGCCATGTGCTTCTGAGGCTGGGATTGTGAGACTGGTGTAGTGCAGGTCGATGTCTGGCCAATGCCAGAAATCATTGGGGTTATCACCAATTTTGGTTTTTGCATTTGAGGTGCAGGGATGCCACCTAAATTCCAAACAAACAAATCAAATTGCACTGATAATTATTCTCCATTCAAATAAAGATCAATCAATAATGATTAATAATTTTACCAGCAGGAATTACGACGGACTCCCTCGTTTTATTGGGCTTGATGAATGTCCCCAGATATGCAAAAGTGTGTTTTCCACTTGATGATTGAGTGGCAGCGCCAGTTCCTGCACTATTCAAAGGCAAAATCTGTGCATTTGGTGTATTAGGTTTCCTCAGAAGAATGTGCTTCTGTCCCTGATTCTGAGGTGCAGTATTTACATTTCCTATTGGATGTCTAATGACTATGTGTTGTTTATTCTGAGGCAGATTGACTGGACTGGAGCTTTGGATGAAAACTTTATTCTGGTTCGCAACGAGCTGCTGACAAGGGAAACGAGTGAAGTGGAATTATTGAGATGAATAGAATAATTCAGAATCGAGTAACAGCATTAAAAATAAATAATTATAGGAAACTCACTGGAGTGCTTATGGGGTTAATTATCGCAGCCAACTGCGACTGATTACTTGCCAGCAAGGGCTGATTTGTGGTAGGTGACTGACCAGTTCCTAATTTATTCTGTTGAATGTACAATAGTGGCATAACGTGTGTGCTATGATCATCAGCTGGCTGTACCTCAATGCTACCACTCTGTCCGTCCTCAACTACAATCTCTTCATTCATCCTATTGACAAATAAAAAGCATTCCACCACCATCAATCATCACTAATTTATCAACTGTGGGAATAAAATCTGATAATGTCAAGATTTTTGGAGAAAATATCGAAAGATTTTTGTTGGTTATTAAGAAACATTGATAATTTAATTATTTCGACTGCAATGAATGTGGAATGAGAAATATTGGCTTTGCAATTGTAATTCGAAAATCGAACAAGAAACAATGGGAACCTTCTAGTAAAGTATTTGAATAATAAATTTAATTTTATCCAGGGAAACCTCAGCTCAATGAAGAATTATATGAATTATTTGTTCAATTAATCTCCAACCGATTACGATATCACCTCTCATTGTCGAGTACTTCTACAAAATTTCCAAAGAACTGTAAAAATTTTCCTAACGCCTCCAGCTGATCTCCAATAAAATCCCGAGGATTCCCAAATAATCTCAAAAACTGGAGAAAGCAAAATGTCTCCTCGAAAATCAAAACCCCATAAAAAAATTTCCCAGATGTGCTCATCAGCAGCGAACAAGCTCCCAGATAATCCGAATCAATAAAAAAAATCGCCCGGACAAAGGCATCGCCTCACCTATCAAGACCTCAACCTGATTGTGACCCCGAAAAAAAATCAAAAAAAAAATCAAAGAAACGTACCATCCACGTGCACCACAGAATTACCTCAATCCCAAGATTCCACTGCCAGTGAGTAACTAATCACCATCCTAATGACTCCTTGAATCCCCGAAAAACAGAATTTCGAATGGCCCGCCAAGAGAACCCCAACGAACAGCGATAACGCATGCAGCCCTCAACACCCCGGGGTAAAAATCCTCTACCCTCCCAAAAACAACTGCATCAAAACCCCAAAACAATTTTGTTACATGAAAATAAAGCCCGAATTAACCCGGCGATAAGATTGCCGCACGCAACATAGACGAGAGTTTATACCCTAAAATAATTCCTATCCGAAGCCCCAACAGTCCCACGATTATTTCACTTCAATTATAACAATAGAACAAACCCAAACCCCTCGTTTCATTGAATTACTCCTGATAATCGTAATTCAACCAATCAGGTTAAATAATTTCCACGATCTATTAATTGATAAACACTAAGTTTAAGGATAAACTTTGAGACACCATTTGAGCATTCGAGTTCTTGCTCTCTTATGCTCAAGTCCAGTTCTCATCGACCACTCGTATGACTCTTGCAAGTTGACACCTTTTACAATGGCAATGTAATTACAATGAGTATGAGTACTAATTTTACAATCCGGAATTATTCGAATTAATCACCCGACGAGACGAAAGACTGCAGGAGGTACCGGAAAGGAAAATTGTCGTTTTTAATTTGTGTAATTTTTAGGGAGACTGTTGGATAACTTCATGCGAATCCTCCTGAATCATCAATTTTCTGTTCCCCATTTCCACCAATGGCAATCTCTTCCCCAGAGTGACGTCACACTGACGTTCAACTCCCATTGGTCGATAGTGATTTCACCAGCCGGAGACTGGCGTGTTCCTCTTTAAAATGCTTTTTCTGTTAAACCCACTATTGTTTAGAATAATTGTTGCTCCCTGGGGTGGCGATGTTGCCATGATTTTGGATGATTTTTGGAGCTTCCTCTGGGACTGAAGCGGAGTCCTTTCGCCTCTGGAGATGATTATCGACTATTGGCGGGTAAATCGGCTCAATGTTAACCTCTAAAGTATAGAAGAGCGTTGGATTACCCGATATTCCATGTAATTACAGGGGACTTCATCAGCGATTATCGAGGGCCAATCGATCCACTGAATTTTTCCATTTTTTCAACCCTCACATCGACCATTTTTTAATTCATTAATTATGCAATTTGAAAGTCTGCAATTTTCTCAGTGGAGATAAAACAACGAAATGATGAACGTATTTTTCCACCTGAGACCGGAAAATCGGTGGAAAAACTCGGAGTGCTTATCGCATTTAATGATTTATTTATTAAAGATTGGAGAAAGTGCAGAATTGGAAATATCGCGGTGTATGACATACTCGTTTGTTTTGACACTGAGGGTGAGTATTTATTTTTATTGGGGATTAATAAATAATGACTAAATCATATGTGCGTTATTTTAATAATTGATAACATTCCATTAGTGTTCGGTAGTCACGATGTGGCTTTCGTCTATTTTTTGTTTTAGTTATTCTGGTAATTGGGGGTGAATCGTGTAATGAATATTAAATTTACTATCGATTAAACGAATCGGTGGAATAATTTGTGCACATAATGTCGGATAATGCGTGGAATGGAACTAGTACTGCGTTTTTGTTCGGCGAACTGAGAAGATATAGAAGCTGAAGGCATATAGTCTATCCGCAAACGAATGCCCAGTCGAATTTCGGTTGACAATTCCTTTCGTCAATCAGCTGTTTGCCATTTAAATTATCATTCACCTCGACTCTTTGAACTTTATTCTAAGCGATTGAGTTATCTGTACTCACCCCACTCACCGCAAATGTTATATATTTTCCGAATAATATAATGATAAACTCACGTTTTGAAGTTACCAGTCGCCATCATCCAAGTACAGAAACAATACTGTAAGCGCGCAGGCGCGACACTTTGGACAGCTCCGGACTTTTCGAGGCTTAAGGGCCGATTTACACGAGATTTTTTGTATTATACTGTACATATAATGAGTAATTACCCAGGAAAATAATCGAGGATGGAATTATCGAACGATTGCCATTTTTTTTTTTTGCATTTTTCTCGATTTTCATGTTACAACCCCAAATTTTTGATTCGCCATCTCTTGGCTGAATTATATTAATATTGATATTAATATTGATATTAATATGGATTTCACACTGCGTTGAGCCCAACAAATTTTTCCTAATCTAATTTACTCCTGTCAAGTATTTATTTATGCAGATGATTGTTTCTATTGGAAACGTGTGAATTTTCAGGCACTGGGAAATTTATTTGGCGAAAGCAATTCTCTTCTCAGTGATTGCATAATTATTCATCAATACGCCATAATAGAGTAAATAAATAAATCAAATTAATCGAATTGAACAAAAAAAAAACGATTACGTAGGAAAATATAAAAAAATCGTTTTCACCAGAAATTAAATCCACTCCATAAAACTCTCGGACTGTCACCTAAACTCAATAATTTCCCTGACAAATCAGTAATTATAAAAAATATTAAATTCCAGTGCACCACCCCCTCGCCCCCGCCGAGCCAAAATCGTAATTTCAAAAAAAGTGCCAACTCTGGCGCATGCGCGGGTGGCACGCGCCTCAAAGCCTCAAAACTCCGACCAAAAAAAAAAGAATTCCATCCATCTCGAATCTCGAAAAATAACGCCAACAAGTTATCACCAAGTATCCATAAGAAATCCAATTAAATTCCCCCACATAATCCCATGGAAATTTTCTCCTTCATTTATTGGTTACGTCCCACGCATTGGCGTACACTCGAAAAAATTGAACTAAAACATCACCCCCTCCCTCCAGCTGATCACATATCATCTCCCTGTGTTTATCAAAAATAAAGCGAACCCAGTGGCATTCAAATGTCAACGACGGATTACTCCGCAACATTGTCATCAATTCCATCTTCGTTGATGCAATAATAAAAACAAGTGACTGCATTCCGTGGAATTCTAGTGAATTCCGTTGGCTGTCTAAATCGGTGAGTTCACTATTCCCTCGATGTCAATAAATGTCTGACTATTCGGCTAATTGCGATCCAATAAAAAAGAATCAAGCGTTCTCTCCCGATAAATTTTTTGGTGTCTGTTTGCTGAGTTATGGCAGAAAAAACGGGATATTCTGTCGGAATATAACCATTTGAGTGTTTCGTGTTCCAGGTAAAAATAGAATACACTTGACAGCATGGGAAATGTCCTCAATAATGGCGAGAACAATGACGATCTAGTGGACATATTGTGTCTGTTGCGGTACATAAAGACAAAAAGAGTTGAAAGGGTTTTTCGGGCTGTTGACAGGGGCGATTATGTCCTTGCATCTCACCGAGATGGGGCTTACAAGGATGTCTCGTGGAAAATTGGCAATATTCATTTGTCTGCACCGTGTGTTTACTCCCAGGTCATGGAGGGCCTTTCACTGGAGGCTGGACTGAGTTTTCTCAATGTGGGGTCAGGCACGGGGTACCTCAGCACCATGGTAGGATTAATACTTGGTGAGTTTGGAGTCCCCTGGGAATAAAACGTCATAAAAAATTCAGGATATGGATTAATCCTTCGTCCAGTCACAATAAATTCGGGAATTTTTTTCGGATTTATTCCAGGAATCATGCAATTACTGTTTTCATTGCAGGTCGACATGGGATTAATCATGGAATCGAATTGAATAAGGACTGCATGGAGTACGCTTATGAGAGGCTCGAGGAATTCAAACGAAAATCGTTGGCGTTGAATGAGTTCGATTTTTGCGAGCCAGTCTTTATGCATGGAAATTTTCTGCGAGTAATTCCTCATCAACAGTACGACAGAGTGTACTGTGGTGCAGCTTGTCCAGAGTCTCACGAGGCCTTTATAAAGCAGTTTGTAAAAATTGGTGGAGTCCTGGTGATGCCCTATAAGGATCACTTGTTGAGGATTGAGCGAGTGGACACAGATACCTGGAGGCACAAGGCAATGCTTCCAGTGGCTTTCGCTGGTTTGGTCATTCCCAAAGACGACGACCAAACGATTCTCCATTTACCTTTCTCAGAGCCCCTACTCCTTCAAGACCTCTGCCGATGCTCCATTCGTTCTCACCTGCGTGATATAATCTGGCAGGAGCATCCAGAGCTGGAGTCTAAGTATCCAATAACTTCGGACACGAGTAGACACCAAAGCCCCACCCCAATTCTACCCTTGAATAATCATGTGCAGTCTTACGAGGGCTCAGGCAGTCACAACTCGACTGAAGACGAGGAGGAAACAGGTACATCTAGCAGGACTCGTCTCCTGGTTTACCTGGACGCGCTCACTCCAAAACCACCGTCGAGTCTTCCCGAATTTGACGTCAGCGACGACGAGGAACAGGAAGACGTCAGAAAGTCCTCTGGTAGGACCAAAAAAATTTCCATTGACTCGATGAATTCATCCTCGTCTTCATCCTCCTCCTCCTCCGACCAAGAGAAGGAGAAGATTCATTGGGAAGGGGAAATGGAGGATGCTGAGGAGCTAATGGTCGTTGACGAGACTGAATCGAATTCAATTCCAAATTCTCATGATGATGAGTCAAAGGCATTTTCCAATGGAAACGAGCCCTTGTCCAGTGAACAAGAGGGACTGAGTGCAGAGCACTCCCAGAGGGATAAAAATGAGAGCTCGTGCGATGTTGAACGTCTCCAGAGATTGCTGGGTGATGGGTCAAGCAGCACTGATAATCATTTGTCACAATCAGGAAGCAGTTCACCGAATAAAAATCGTGAGACCCAGGGTTGTGAGAGGTCTTTCAAAAGAGACAACCAGAATAAATCGGATAAATCACTGAATGCTGGTGAGGGAACGAGCTCCGAGAGGTGTGACTTCCCGAGTCCAGCGAAAAAGAAGAAGTGGAGGAAGTTGTTGTCGAGGGAGGAACTCGAGGGGAACGTGGGCACATCCAAGTGGTCCCCCACGAATTCCAGGGACTCCAGCAGAACTGATTCCAGCAAAGTCGAGACGCCAGACTGGAATTCTCTGATGAGCTTCAGCGATGACGAGGACACGAGTGCCAAGACGTCGAGTAAAAATCCAAAACTCAATGGAATTCACAATTTCGTTTGGGATTCACTGTTTGGTCTCGATATTCATACGAGTGGAAATGAGGGGCCATCGTCTCAGTCTCAACAGTCACCGGATAATCCCAGAAATGGACCTCAACAAGTATTCGCTCATAATGTTCATGCGAATAACCTGGAGGAACAGATGAGGAGGAAAATTCGGGCACTACCCCTCCCCGTGTCTCTGCAGCGGTACATAAATTATAACAGACCCCTGTAGGCTAGTCAATGGGTACGAACCAACAATAAATTTATATCCTAAATTTATCAAGATAACTGTACAAATTTCCGGAAATAAAATACTACAATTTTATTTGTCATGGATTTAGAGTACATTTACATAATATTCTCAGTTAAAATAAAATTCATGAAAAAATCCCAATTATCGTTTTTTCTTAATTAAAAATCGCAAAGAATCCTTCATTTCGTTACTAATGCATAAAGTAAAACTTCTCCTCGCGTGTACCCCATAATTTTCCAGCACATCTCCCGAACTTCAGTTTGAGAAGTAATTCGGATTAAAAAAGTTCATTCTCCGGGAGTCGTAGTGACAATAAATTCCCACATACCAGACCGTACCAAAAACCAAACATTCCCAACCCGCATTAAAAAACCAACTTTACCCACTCCTCAAAAGAAGCCCCCCAAAAAAAATAATCTGAAATTAATTTCAAATGAATTAATCCCCTTATCAGTGATTCAGTGAGGGGGAAATAAGTGGTTCAGTGACCCCGAAAAGTGATTTCCCATCAATCCAAGAAGAAATGAGCCGATAAGAACCGAGGACGTCTACAAATGAACCTCAAACAACTCATCTAATTGCAATAAATCCCATCTAATGCACCTAAGCTCCCCCCAGGATTGCCCTCCCCCTTCTCTCAACCCCCTCCCCCTGTACAGAGTGTGCAATGTGTACCCGGCGCGATTGGGGTTGCGCGGAGGGAAACTGCCGGTGTGGAAAGCTAACGCCCAACCACAAAGCCCAGTCGGTGTGTACACCATCTAGGCGCACATCATCATTATCTGTCTCATTTTTTCCCCTCGCAATCGCACCGTAAAAAAATAAAAAATAAAAAAAAAAAACAAAACGGGACAAAAGTCATTCCTCATCACCACTTAATCCACATTATTAAATCGTCTCATCCAATTTGTCGTGCACCCTTATAGAAAAAAAAAAGAAAGTACAGCTGGGGAATAACATGCGGACTGCATGTACTTGAATAATAAATAGCTGTGGGAGGGGGGGGCGGGGTAGAGATTATTTGATGATGTATTTAATCCTGATCGCGGGGCCGACGTACTTGTTTCGAAGAATAACAAAACGTTGCGTTGACGCAACTTGATTCGAATGGACTCATGTGTTTTATATTTATCGCTGGACATGCTAGACTGAATGCTCACCCGGTGGAATGATGAATGGAAATGTAAGTAGTGAAGTAGTGGATATTTTAATGAGCATGTCTCTGCGTAATTGCTCCCCGTTGGATTATGCATTCTGTTTTTGGGGGGTTGGGAATTCGGGTGTTATGAATATCGGTGGGGATGAATTCTGGTGAATACATTTATTTGGGTAATAATGTGGAGAGTTTCGGGGTTGGGGGATTTTTTATTATGATGTAGGAATTAAGAGGGTGAGGGGGTGGTTCTGGCTTTGGGGATGGGAATGGTAATTATTTATTTATTTATTTATTCTCGAGGGACGTAATTGGGGTGATTTGGGGAGTCACTTTCTCTTTGTTGGAGTTCTTTTTACATCTGTATTTGCATTTCTTTTTAGAGCGTAATTGTACGGAAGGGGTGGGAATTTTAATTAGGGCTTTTTTAGGGAAGTAATTCGAGGGTATTCACTTCGTTTTTTGGTGTGTTTTTTAGGGGGTGTTTTGTGATTTTGGAGGGATTCGGTTTTGGGGATGTTTGGGTTGGGGGTTAAGGGGGAATTTGTAATATATTCTGGATTGTAAAGTTAGGACGGATTTTGGTGGATACAGTTATTTCGCGAATTTTGAGATTAAGGGGCACTCTGGGTTGAGGCTTTTGGATTAGTTCTAGGACTTTTTTAGGAGATTAGGAGCTATGAGTTTCACGGTTGAATAGAGCTGTAGAGAAATTCTAAAGGTCTATGAATTTTCAGTGTTATTCTGCAGGTGAAAAACTTGTGCTGATTCTGGATATAATTCTTTGCGGGGATAATTCGATTTTTAGTTACGTTTTAATGGCAGTGGAAAAATTGAGTCGATACATATTGCAATCGGATTTATAGATGGGATTAGAATGGATTTTGGTGAATTCGTTTATTGAGTAATTCCTGGATTAAAGGGTGTAAAAATAATAATTCCTCAATTTTTTTCTGGCCATTTTTTTATTACAAATTTCACACATGAATGGAGAGGTAAATTACGCGAGTAAATGTCAATTCATTGAGATAAAAAATGAGGATCAACAATTCTGTTGGCGTTCCTTTATTTATTGAACTCATGGCGTTCTTTGAAAATAATTAAATCACTCGACTAGCTTTTATTCACCTTTTCCAGTTCTGTTTTCATTACAAACGAATAAACAAATTGTGTCGGGACACAAGAGTCTCGAGGAATAATTAACAATGTTATTAACAATTGACGAGTGATGTTAATTCATTAAATCGATTGACTCTCGGTCAAGTTACCTACAAAATATTCAATAACCACTAGTCCATATCACATTCCAACTCCAGCTTAAACTACTGAAACATCCAATAAATATTTCACTCATCCCTAATAACTCCTATTTTTCTAATTAATTGTTTACTTTTTTAAAAAACAATACTCGCATTTCCTGGGATTTTTTATTTCTACAATGACATTAATTGGGTTTATTTTATTCAGTTAAAACATTTCTCTATTGAAATACTAATGAACAATTTTTTATTCGTTCCTGCGGTTTAATTTCTGTACTATAGTACTCTACGAAACTGATGGAGTAATTGAGCCCAGGGCCATTGATAAAAAAGCGTCAGACCTCAGAATCTAATTGAATATTTAATGATGTCAACAATATGAAATACCTCGGGGTTTTCCTACTGATAATTCAGTCGCTGTGTTTAATTCATTAAATTAAAAACTCTTCAGATGAGAGATTGTGGTAATTGTCTCCGCATGACATTCGTCCCCCAAATTTAAAAACTAGAATTATGAATGAACAGTGGTGGAGTATGAAGAAACTCAATTTTCACTATAAATCAGAGCTCCATGGATAATTCAATCTCAAATCCAATCTGAAATTTTCCAGTATTGCAAATTGGCATGTAACTGTCAATTGAGTTTCCAGAAATTTCCCAAGGTGTGCCCTTGATAACTCTCAACCGAGCATTTAATATTTGTTGAATTAATAATTACAAACACGTACCCAATTGAATTTGAATATTCTCAACTGAACTCGTACACTATTTTATTCTGAAATTCGAGCTCTAAAATGTTCAATGAAAATTCAAGGAACATCTCACAATAAATTGATGGAAAGGGTTATTATTAAAATATTGATGAGAGTCCATTAAAAATTGCCATGCAGACTATTTTAAAAGGTACTGACACGTGAAAAATATTCTCTTGAGACGAGATTTTTTTTCCAAGTGCTCAAAGCTTCAAGGCATTTCATTCGAATCGCTTGGCTGAGCTTTTCCCCAGTTTTACGACGTTCTTGATCAGAATAATTATGTTTTACATTCATGGTTACTACAAAAATCTCAATGAATCAAAAAAAAATCTCATAAAAAATTCCATTCAATTTATCCGTGGAGTTTGAAAGATTTTTATTGGAGTTGAGAAATTATTTTATTCGATTTTTATTGGAATATTTCATGGAAAATTAGACGGCAATGATTATCAGCTAGAGAATAGTCAATAATTTCGAATTATTTTAAATAAATCAGTTGCTTTTATCCTAGGAATTGACACAATAAAATCGAGACAGAATAAATTGCCCAGAAACAACTGTATTAATTAGTATTCATTATTAATAAGAATATTTTTCATGCTCTTCTCTTCAATTTTACTCCATCAATATTTTTCCCCACCAAAAGATAAGTTAAATGGCAAGGAATAATCTAAAACGTAAAGAAATATAAATTCTCCACAAAATTCGATGAAGAAAAACTCTCCATGGGATTTTTTTGATAACCAGAATTCACCCCTAAATTTCCTGAACTCCTGATTGTGAAAAATCATCAGATAGTCTTAGATTGTATGAAAAACTTTCTGAAAATGTGTTTATCAATAAAAATCTCATTAACGTTCCAGGCAAACACTAGAATGACCAACTCCTGGATCAATTATCCCATCTTGATAGCAACTTTCAGCGTTCTGGCGAGTCCAACGGACGTTGGATTCTGCGGTGGTCATTTAATGTCGCCAAGAGGAATAATTCAAACGCCAAACTTTCCTGGACCATTTTCGGTGCCCATTAAGTGTCACTGGGTGATAGACGCGTCGGACATACCATTTGGCAACAGCTCCATCGTCATTTATCTGACTCAGCTGTACGTCTACAAAGGATTAAAATTCACCGAATACGCCTATTACGAGTCGGACAGTGTAAATTTTGGTGGTATCATCATCAAAGAAGTTACGGAGAGCAATATTTTTGAATACCGATGGTTCAAAACATACAGACCATTTCTCGTTATTGACTTTCAACTGGAGAGACTTGAGGGGAATCACGTACGAGTTCTTCATGATCTTCTCGATGTTTATGGCTTCAATGTCACGTACGAAGTGACGGAGGCAGATGCCAACCCAAATTCCTGCACGGTTAGGGACTGCTCTTTTGCGGGAAATTGCATACTCGATGGCACCTACGGGTAAGTATCTGAATAATTCAAGTTTTTGTGGTTTTGAAGTCTCGCCAAGATATAACAGACGAAAGAACAAAACCTTTTCGGGTCACTTTTTACTCTCCTCTGTTATTCAGGGTGTGAAAATTTACATTGAAATTTGTATAGAGTATCACTATTTCTGTGCTCACTCAATCTGATACATTTGCATTCACAAGAAATTCAATCTCAATATTAACCAATTGATGAATAATATATATTAATATATTCTTGGGGCTCTGCATTGCATTGTCTGTGAGGAAACTCATGTAATATCTTGAAAGCTAAGGGAAAAATCCTCGAGCAATTCGGAATGTTTCTGGGCGAGAGGAATTTCGTTTCTACCAGTCGCCTTTCTACTTTGCCCCTCAAAAATTTCTCCATGCAAAACGAAAATTCAATGTACTTTTGATCTGAGGAATTTGTATGATAAAGGCATATCCGCTTGTCGTTTTCATTGTCGAACAGTATCTTTTGCACAATGTGTTTATTTTTTTTTGTGGGAATAGAGAGGAAAGCTGCATCTCACTCCAATCACACCTTTCATTGCTGTCTCAGTACGAGACATTTGCATTCTCGAAATTCAATTGCAGTATTAAGGAATTATTGAATAATATATTTTGGGGGTTGTATTGATTCTAATAAAAAAACCCGGAATATCTTGAAAGCTATTCTGATACAGAGAAAAAATCCTGAAACCAATGGGAACGTAGAAATTTATATTTTTGCAACGAAAAAAATTATGCGAATGCATTAGAGAGAACTCTAGGAATTAACAATTTATTGATATTAATTCCTTAGTATTTATTTCCTTCAAAGTATTTCTGTTTCATGATATAAGTCGTTCTCTAAGTAACAAGAGAATGTTTTTTTATTCTCATCGCATTTTCTAGTAGTGTCTTAATGCAACATTTGCATTCCCAAGAAATTGAATCTCAATATTAAGGAATTGCTGAATAATATATTTTGGACGGTTGCGCTTTACTGGCTGCTAGAGAATTCGTGCAATATCTTGAAAGCCACCCTGATAGAGGAAAAATTCTCAAACAAACCGGAATTGAACAGAAATGGCATCTCATTTCCAGCACTCGTGTACCTACTCTGGTTAAAAAAAAATATTTCCATCCAAAACAAAAATCCGATGCCTCTCGATCCTTCCGTATTTATCTCAAACGCCCATGCAAATCACAACAATCGACTACACTCAGGGATATTGATTAAAAAATAATTGAGGGCAATAATATTTTGACAGTATAATACTTCTGCCCAGTAAACAATTTAAACCATAATCCTTAAACCTGTAATATTTTTAAAAATAATATGACTACATCGTAATATCTCGACTCGTAAAATTTTCCTGGCTTTTTCATCAAGTAATATATTTACATTATAATATGTTGACTTGTAATATCATCTGGAATATATGGAGGGATAATATTATTATTGAATAGAATTGAGAGCACCGACTGAACCTAATCATTAACGAATAATTAATAAATAATCTGGAAAAACTGAGATTGCAGCGAGTTCTATGTGTTAATTTTCCCCAGGTCGTTTAGCTGTCACTGTTTCGAGAAATTTAGTGGTGAAAAATGCTCTCACGGTCCACTCTGCATGGATGACAAACGAGACACCATGTGCAGAAATGGTGGTACCTGCAAGTATGTAATAGCCCCATTGTCACAAAACTCATTGTTCCATAATCGATCGATGAATTAAACCCCAGACTTATTGCTCGTTGATGATGTAGACACATTGGAGCAGAAGCTGTGAGATGCCACTGTGCCCCAGGTTACACTGGAAACAGCTGTGAAATACAATTTTTAAACGATACCCACGGAGGTGAGTGCTTCCACTATTTCAAATATTTCCATCTATTTGCAAATTCAATAAATCCCTTAATAAAATATCATGTTTCATTCAGATTGCCTCAGTTCCACCTGCATCAAGCAATGTACATACTCACCCGAAACACAAAAGCCCTGCGATTGCACGGATCGATTACCCGTGTACGATAGTAAGTACTTCACTCACATTTTTTCCATTCCTCAATTATCCGGGAATTGGATCTCATGAATTCTTTATATTGTGTCGACAGATCGGGCGAGGTACGAGTGCCGTATAAAATTAGCAAATTTCACGGCTATTCGGAATGGAGCCAACACACAACCCGGATCTATCGAGGCATTACTCCGGAAACATGTGAGTTAAAAATTGAATATCAAAAATCGTCTTTTCGGGTTTTTCTGGGGTGTAGAAGGGGTGAGGGAATTTCTTGTAGCTGAAGTTGAGAAGCTGATAGCCGATCGGACGGCATTACGTTTTATGGATGAATAAAGTTGGGATATGGGAAATGTTGACGTTTATGACCCAAGTCCGTGAGATTTTCACTCTCAGGCCAGTCAATTTTTAGCTTAACGTTTATACCGGCGGAATATATTCAGTGGATAGCCGGTGGATAGACGAGATTTTGGGGGATTATGAATGGGAAATATCCGAGGGCTTCGCTCTTCTCGATGGGGCGTATTCGGCTGGATCTCAGTGTTATGAGGGGTAATTGTGATTTTCAGAGTCCCAGGTCAGTCAAGTACACGCGAATAAATGTGGATTATGGGAGATTTTTGGATTTATCAAGTGCAGATATTGACGGGTTTCTCGTTTTAAGGTATTTGAGGGTCATTTGGAACCTCTTGGAGGTCTAATGCAGTTGAATAATCAGGAGAATATGGAATTTTTGATTTTACGGTCGATTTATTTTCGAGATTTGGCTTTTTTTTCGAGGTGAGGAAGGGCTTTTGAAGGAGGGAAACTCGGGAAGACTAAAATTCATATTCTGGTGTCTATAAAATTCAAATGTACAACGTTCTGATTCTTGAGAGGGCCAAATGGATTTAATAACGGAGAGCATATGTAAATTTTCTTTTTTACGGTCGTTTAATTATCAAGATTTTGAATTTTATGCGCGTCAAGCAGATGAGATGAGATGAGATGGTCCGGTGAATATCTAGCTTTAAATATTTCATGCGAATGAATGAGATTAACGAGTTTTTCGCACTTAAAAAGGTGAAGTTTAAAATATATGATTTTGACACTGATATCCAGGCGTCGTCCCATCACCCGATCCACAGCAATTTTTTTTTATCACATGAGTACACACATTTTCATAACCGATCGAACCTGTATTCTGTGTTTTACCATAAATTTTGTCCGGAATTTTTCGCGACAATAGAAGCAGCAATTCCACCGAGCAAAAGTACCTCGTAGTCTCGTACCGCCACACGTTTTTTTTACACTCCCTCGTGAAAAAATGATAGCAAGCGGTTTTCCCTTGCCTTTCTTGGATTAAATCTTAAACGGAAATGAGTTGTATTCTTCCCCGTTATTTCCATTACTTCCCATATCTCAGGAGGGATGCATACAGTATTCTCAACGACAAATGCAATGCAACTGGAGGGAACTAAAATACTTGAGTAATAAAAGAGGATGATATTCGGAATATTTCAGAGTTGCATTTCACAGTTGTGGAATAAATAAATTTCAATGCCATTAAAACTTTCTGCCGGGAAGTGCAATCGGTTTACGTGAAAAAATGTACATTCCCCTGTAATTATTTTTTTTTCCCTTTCAACGAGTCACTGCAGTGGAAATAAGGAATTAATATCAGTGTATATGAAACGAATGGAAATCATTGTTGCATACGCATTAAAAAGTAACAAGAATAATTTTTTGCGGCTTTCTCTGTTTTTAAAAATTCGTTATTTTAGTTGATCCGATTATTTCTGGACGATAATGGAATTACAATCGGATTTGATGATGAATATTGGAATAGCTTTTGCAATCTTAATATCTGTTTGGATTTTATTATGGACGTGTGGAAATTCATTATTATATTATCATTCAAATATGTAAATCGATGGTTCCAGATACTGGAAAACTAATTCGATCAGACAAACAGAATTGAAAACAGAAATACTGTAGGTTCATTTACATATCCGTTTTGTAATTTCATTTTGAATTTCAATTGCTGTCGTGATGGGCACAGCTCCTGGACATTCACATTTATTCAAAAAATAATGAAATTCTATCGGTTATTTGTAAAAAAAATATCGAAAATATTCTGACAATATTAAAACTTTCTCGGGACAAATACTCGTGACTAATGCATCATTTCAAGTTGAAATAATGTAAAAGCGCGGGAATTTCCACGCGATTGCAGAAGTCTCTCGATAAAACGATAAAAAATATTCATGTATTTCCTATTATGGATATTATGGATTAATTGTCTCGAAGATTCCGTAGTTGCATTCTAAACTGGTCTGATAGAAAATCGCGATTAATTATCGCGACGATTCACTCAGTTATCCATGAATTATTGGAGAGGAATTCTTTCACGAAAGGAGTGCGCATTCTAGAATCGAATTTATAATTTCTACACATGGATTCCCATTTTTTATGGGGACTAATTGTCATGCAGCCGGTGGGATAATCACGCTCTTTGAGACTAAGAGATTAAAGATACGGGATTTGTGGAATAATCCAGAAGCAACTGCCTTTGACATAAATGCGATAATAAAATAATAAAGTCGAATGGAAAAATGGGAAAATGGCTTCTGAAAAATTCGATCGAAAAACTTTTTAATCCATTAAATTTTGTAATATTTATTTGGATAGCGTAAAGTCAATTAATTTTATTAATTGGCATAATTATTTTTCTGGTAGTTGGGAAGTTATTGATTATTTTAAATGGTATGTTTGATCGGAAATCTAGTAAAGTATTTTTCAAGGAGAAATAACGAGAAGCTGCTAAAATGAAGTGAAACTGGAAATAAGTGATTACCCCCTGGAAACTAAAAGTTTTTCCTCTCCCTGCGGTCTTCAATAGAAATTTCATTCCGTTTAAATAGATAGAGAGTTGTGGGATTCGATGCCAGCTGAGTCCACGTAGTGAATCTCAGGATGGGCTAAATACTCGTGAGCTTGTAAAAAGATAAAATGATGTTCTTATTTTCAATCGTAGTAGAGAATTCTTAACGACGTGGAAAATTCAATTATCAGGAAAAATAATCGTAAATATAACGGTTCGAGAAGTAATCCGGGAGAGAAGTAAGATTCAATAAAAAATTGCGAGTCGGTAGTGGAATTGTACGAATCCCAACGTAAACTCTACCATTTTCTTTCGTAAAAGTTTAACCGACCGTTAACTTGAGTTAACCACCCGTTGATGACTTATTGCAATGGCGGCAACAAGTTGGCCATTTTTCATTAATAATTGCGAAATTTAAAGGAATTATTTTTATTTAATTTGACAAGCGACTCGCGCGTGTACGGAAAAAGTTATTTTAGTCTCGTGAAAAGTTTATGAGTAAACATTGTCTCACTGAAAGTGGAAAACTAATTTCTAATTAAAATTATTATTAATTATTATGAATGGCCCTTAAACAATTTTTCATTCGACATTCCACTGAAATTGGAAAGGAATCCCTCAAATAATACAAAAATTTTTTATTTATTTAAAATAATTCTCGACCGATTACCGTCCAAAAGACATGTCCTAAAAATACCACAAACGCAGTATGAACTTCGACGAGGGAAAAATAGAGGCAATTCCCCAGGACAAAATGAAAACTGACAGACCACGAGAATTTCATAAACCGAGATTTTGCGAAAAATATGAAAACCGGTTTTCACACCATTGACACTTGCTAAAAATCCCTCCATACACGCCCTCACAATGTACCTCCCATTCCACAACGAATCGCCAAAACTCCAAAATCCATGACTTAATAAAAAATTCATCAAAGCCTTAAACAATGACACATCCCCATCCAATCCGGAAAATACGCCTTGAAACTGAATACCACCCTTGCCATGACGAAATAATCCTGAAAATTCCCTTTAAATTCCGTCGACTGCTGATACAAGGGCATCATATCCCCGAGATAATGAGAAATTTTCCGAATAATTTGACGCTCGTCCGAAAATTCGTATTTTCCATTGTTTATTGCGAAAACTCTGGACGAAAATGAAGCCCCAAACTTATCTCACGAAAATCGGAATATGCATAACACTTACGCGCATGAACAGTTATGAAAAGTCACCCCCTACATAAGCAATTACCACTCTCAAACTATATTGCACACTGGGGGATTCTCCTGTAAATGGCATGCAATGGGATTCCGGAGGCGTGCATCAGTGAAAGGTGGTCCATGTAGAACAGTTCTCACTAAATTACATTACCCTCTTATTCGACCTGAATACCAGGCCCCTTTTAATCAATTTCCCTGAGAATCAGCCAAGTGGGAATCAGTAAGGCCAAATTCCACTCTGAATTTTCTCGATTAATGTTCCCCCAGCAGAATAAAAAATACAAAAACAATCAATAATCCAGGGGCTCTTTGCAAGTCGCTTGTGCGCAGTGTAATTTTTATTTTCATTTTTTTCCATCAGGATTCATCTGAATTGTAAATTGGAGTGGACTCGCGAGCTTTTATCCGTATGACCATTAACCGGTTGTATAATGACGGAGAAAAAATGAGATAATAATGATGAAAATAATAATGAAGAGAACTTGAAGTATTCATGACGGAGACGATCTCCAGAAATTTTTGATATTGTGTCAGGATTTTGGGGCACCAGGTCCCGTGGAACAAGAAAGTGCGAGAAAAATTGTCTAGCTGTCTGGACTTCAGGTCTGCGGTTCTATAATTAAAAATCGGGGGAAAAATATCGGAACAATAATTTATATTTCATACCATCTCTTTCGAATGCCGCAATATTCTCCGTTATATATCTCATGCGATGCAGATATATGCAAAGTACATTTTGATACATATTTTTCTTCCGTGCGGGATGTCCACCGAGAATAAAGTGAAATTAATTTACTTCTGCCAAGTAAATTTACTTGGCACTAGTGAATGCGTATAAATATTAGCATTTGAAATTAGAGAATTTTCCTGTACCTCAGATTATCTTTTTCAACTGAAATAATTAACAATAATAATCCCCACAATAATAAATTATCAACGTAATAATAACAGTAATAATGACTTCCATTTTCCCGAAAGCTAATTTCAATTGAACTTCACAATTGCAATTGATTGTTATAAACAAATTGATTCAATTCAATATTCACGATTGGTAGTTTTATTTGTTTTTGTTTGTTAGCTTGAAACAAAGTTTTTTATTGATGGAATTTCCTTTTT